TTCTGTTCCTGTGTTAGTTTGTTGAGGATAATGGTTTCCAACTCCATCCATGTCCCTGCAAAGGACATGATCTCACTCCTTTTTATGGCTGCATAACATTCCATGGTGTATATGTACCACATTTTCTTTATGCAGTCTGTCATCAATGGGCATTTGGGCTAATTCCTTGTCTTTGCTATTGTGAATAGTGCCGCAATGAACATATGAGTGCGTATATCTTTATAATAGAAGGATTAATCCCAGTAACAGGATTGCTGGGTCAAATGACATTTCTGGTTCTAGGTCTTTGAGGAATTCCACACAGTCTCCCACAATGGTTGAACTAATTTACATTCCCAACAACAATGTAAAAGCATTCCTGTTTCTCCACAGCCTTGCCAGCATCTGTTGCTCCTTGACATTTTAATAATCACTATTCTGACTGGCGTGAGATGGTATCTCATTGAGGTTTTGATTCACATTTCTCCAGTGATCAGTGATGTTGAACTTTTTTTCATTTGTTTGTTGGTTGTATAAATTTCTTCTTTTGAGAAGTGTCTGTTCATGTCCTTTGTGCACTTTTTAATGGAGTTGTTTTATTTATTTTTGGAAATTTGTTTAAGTTCCTTGTAGATTCTGACTATTAGACCTTTGTCCAATTGCAAAATTTTTCTCCCATTCTGTAGGTTATCTGTTCACTCTGATGATAGCTTCTTTTGTTGTGCAGAAGCTCTTTGGTTTAATTAGATCTCATTTGTCAATTTTTGCTTTTGTGCTTTTGTTACAATTGCTTTTGATGTTTTTGTCATGAAATCTTTGCCTGTGCCTATGTCCTGCATAGTATTGCCTATATTTTCTTCTGAGGTTTTTATAGTTTTGGGTTTTACGTTTAAATCTTTAATCCATCTTGGGTTAATTTCTGTATTAGGTGTAAGGAAGTGGTCCAGTTTCAATTTTCTGCATATGGCTAGCCAGCTTTCCCAGCACCGTTATTAAATACAGAATTCTTTCCCCATTGCTTGTTCTTGTCAGGTTTGTTGAAGATCAGATGGTTGTAGATGTGTGGTCATATTTCTGAGATCTCTATTCTGTTCCATTGGTCTATGTGTCTGTTTTTGTACAAGTATCATGCTGTTTTTGTTACTGTAGTCTTGTAGCATAGTTTGAAGTTGGGTAGCCTGGTGCCTCTAGCTTTGTTCTTTTTGCTTAGGATTGTCTTAACTATATGGGCTCTTTTTTGGTTTTCTGTAAATTTTAAAGTAGTGTTTTTCTAATTCTGTGAAGAATGTCAATGTAAATCTGTGAAGAATCTCAAAGTTTTTTAAACAAAAGCTTATTTTTCAAACAAATAAATTACATATATATGAAGTTAAATGTTAAATTATATACTGTATATATTAAAGTTACAAAAAATTTAAACTCTCTCTATAAATATACTTAGAATAGTTGATGCATATTGTTCTAGGCCTTTAAATGCAAATAAAAACATAAACAACAAATCAACACTAATAAATACTAGCACTGCACTAATTTGTCTCTTTTTATTTAACAAATATATTTTGGCATCTTTTGATTTCTATACACATAGGTTTACCTCTTTCTTTTAAAAGGGGAGTATTTTATTATAGAAATATACTGTAAATTTTAAAATCATTCCCCTATTAAAATTTAAATGGATGCCAACTTTTCAATTTTTATTATCCACATTATAATTTTACTCAAATTTTCTATTTCAAAGATTGCAGCAATGGCTATTTACATACCTTTTCTATTTGCATAACTATCTTTGGAAGCATTTCTACATTTGGAACTTCTGTGACAATGGATATACTCATTTTATATTTTGATGCGTATTGTCAAATTAAACTCTAAGAATATTTTATAGTAAACCCTTCTAAAATAGCTATAACAGTTCTTAATTCCTCAGACCCTTCACAGAATTAGAGAGTTGATAGTACGTAGGATAGAATTGGATATCATCAATGAGATCATCGATCTTTAAAAATATTTGCTAATCCGGTAAATAATATCCTTTATTCATGTTTCATATGGAATTTATTTAAGATATTTAGAATATTCTATATATGTACTAAATATTAGAATTTATTTTTATATAAATTGCAAAATTTATTTTTATATAAATTTATTTTATATAAATTTTTATATGGTTGTTTGTATTCATTGCCAATTTTTCTACTTGACTCAAGGGCTTCACCTAAGTGATTTGTAAGAATACTTTAAATATTAATGGAATCATACATTTTCTATTTGAATTGGTTTCTAATTATGATACTTTTAAAATGGGATTTATTGTCTCCTATTTAATTATTATCTCTGTGTAACAGTTATCCTTCCAATTTCCATTTTGACTTTTTTTTTTCCCCAGATATATCTATATGTATATGTGATAGGGGACATGGGATGTGGGACAGCTTATGTACAATTTTGTGATACTGAATAGAATATCTTAGATCTGGTATGATAAACCTTAATTGAGGCTTCTCTATGCATTGACCTCTTCTGTAATTGAATCCATTGGTAGTGAAATGAACCTTATCTAGACTTTAGCACAGACAAAATCCACTGCTGCTGACTACCAGCTTTGCCATTTTGTTCTATCTGGAAGTGACAGGCTTTCCACTTTCTGTTTCTCTTAATTTGGGATACACCCTATATCACATCTTTCCTTCTCCAGGAGAAATAATCTTGTACTTCTGAGGTCAGCTTTAATAGCAGGAAAATCACAAAAAGTACATTAGAAAATATTTTTAAAATATTCTTTTCATTATATGTATATAATTTGTTTCCTTTATCAACTTTTAATTGCTCAAGCAAAATGAATGCATTTAAGTTAGAAAAAATATGCAGAGGTCTTGATGAGAATTGGTGGTATGTAGGATAGAGCAGTCATTGTAGGAGTAGCAATAAGTGGATGTAACATGAATATTTACTAATTGAATACTTACTTATAATACAATAATTATTTAGAAGATGAGGATGATGATTATGTGTGAGAAAGATTTAATTTAGGTAGCTTCAAGGTTTCTAGATTGAGAAATTGATTGTGTTGTATTGCCATTTGTTGAGTTGAAAACCATTGTAGGAGAAATGGTCTGGGGCAATAGAAAGACAAATGGGATAGTTTGGAACATACTGACTTGGATGCACCTGTAGGATTTCTAAGTAAAGATTACAAGCATAAGATAACTAATTTTTTAAAAAAATTATTGTTATTATACTTTAAGTTCTAGGGTACATGTGCATAACGTGCAGGTTTGTTACATATGTATACTTGTGCCATGTTGGTGTGCTACACCCATCAACTCGTCAGCACCCATCAACTCATCATTTACATCAGGTATAACTCCCAATGCCATCCCTCCCCCCTCCCCCCTCCCCATGATAGGCCCCAGTGTGTGATGTTCCCCTTCCCGAATCCAAGTGATCTCATGGTTCAGTTCCCACCTATGAGTGAGAACATGCGGTGTTTGGTTTTCTGTTCTTGTGATAGTTTACTAAGAATGATGGTTTCCAGCTGCATCCATGTCCCTACAAAGGACACAAACTCATCCTTTTTTATGGCTGCATAGTATTCCATGGTGTATATGTGCCACATTTTCTTAATCCAGTCTGTCACTGATGGACATTTGGGTTGATTCCAAGTCTTTGCTATTGTGAATAGTGCTGCAATAAACATACGTGTGCATGTGTCTTTATAGCAGCATGATTTATAATCCTTTGGGTATATACCCAGTAATGGGATGGCTGGGTCATATGGTACATCTAGTTCTAGATCCTTGAGGAATCGCCATACTGTTTTCCATAATGGTTGAACTAGCTGATCAGATAACTAATTTTTAAACTGAGAAGAGATGAATTTTTTGTTTGTTTGTTTTGAGATGGAGTCTCGCTCTGTCACCCAGACTGGAGTGCAGTGGCGCGATCTCGGCTCACTGCAAGCTCCATCTCCGGGGTTCACGCCATTCTCTTGCCTCGACCTTCCGAGTAGCTGGGACTACAGGCACCCGCCACCACGCCCGGCTAATTTTTTATATTTTTAGTAGAGACGGGGTTTCACCGTGTTCACGAGGATGGTCTCGATCTCCTGACCTCGTGATCCGCCCGCCTCGGCCTCCCAAAGTGCTGGGATTACAGGCGTGAGCCACCGCGCCCGGCCAAGAGGAATTTTTTAAAAATTATACACTTCATAATCTTCAACATAGGGGCCACAGTTCAAACCATGACATTTGTGGAAATCTTCCAGGTACAGTTTTTCCGCCAAGAAAGCAGCAGGCATGGATGCGTGGATAGAGCACTGTGGAATTCCAACCCTCGAAGGACAGATAGAAAAAAAAAAAGAGTGAATACTGAGGTTGGAGGAAAAGAGTCATCTATCATGTCATGAAATAGAAGAGTTTTGGAAAAAAGATTCAACTGTTTCTATGAAGTCTCAAAAAATGAATCATTAAACGGATTAAGCAGGGATAAGAATGCTATTGCACAATACTGCCAGGAGAGTGGGCTTCCCCTGCTGATATATGCCTTCTTTGTTGGATAAGAGGAGGCTTCTACCTTCTTTTCATGAGACAAATCTGACATAGTAAATTATTGGGGGCTGTCTTTTCTTGAAAATTTCTCCAACCTAGGAATGTCTGAAGGGGCAGAGTAAACCACCTAAACCTTTTCATGGAGGAATGTTCTCCATTTCCTCTTTATGTTGGTGAGCTTTTCTGTAAGAGTAATGGCAACCCAGGCAGATGTTTTAGTGGTTGGGGGAGAAGCAAGGAAGTAAGAGACAGCGTTGTCTACTTAGGTTTTAGAAACTGAGCCTGCTTTTGTTAAACCCCTTGTGATCCTCTAGAGTTGTTATTTCAGTTTCCCAGGAACAGGAGATTTCACAATGAGTTTTGCTTCAAATCTCTGACTAGTAACAATGTTTCTCTGCCTAATGTTATTTTATGCATATGTTTTCTTAGAAAACTTGCCGGGTTGCTGAGAGGTAGACAAGACTGGTTTAAATTATATGACGTATTTCTGCGAAATATTGCAATAACATTTTTATTATGGCTTAAAATTATAACTGAAAATTTGACAGATCTTTATTGTAAAGAGAAGAGAAGAGGGATAAGTTGTCATTTCCTGGAACTGAAAGTGAGGGGATAATATTGGAGAAGGGTCCTTCCGATCAGAGGCAGATTTTTGTAGATCACAGTAACAATCAGCCATACAACTTTTATTTTCAGTTCACTAGACACATCTAATTGATGACTATAATGACAACATTCAACTTGAGCAGCTTCAATCCAGGCCCATTCATCCTACTGGGGATTCCAGGGCTGGAGCATTTTCACATCTGGATAGGGATTCCCTTCTTTATTACTTACGTTGTGGCACTTGCAGGCAATAGCGTCCTTCTCTACCTAATTTCTATGGAGCAGAGCCTCCATGAACCCATGTTCTTTTTCCTTTCCATGCTAGCTACTACAGATCTCATGCTGTCTAATACATGTTTACCAAAAACATTTAGCATCTTCTGGCTGGGTCCTCAGGAAATCACCTTTCCTGGATGTCTTACTTAGATGTTTTTTCTCCACTACAGCTTTGCCATGGATTCTGCCATCCTTCTGGCCATGGCGTTTGATCATTATGTTGCTATTTGCTTCCCTCTAAGATACACCACTATTGTCACTCATGAAATTATTACTAAGATTGTGGTGGGTATTAGCAGCAGGAGCTTTTTCTTCCCATGTGTGTTCCTGTTAAAGCGACTACCTTTCTGTAAAACACTCATCATTCCCAACACATACTGTGAGCACATAGGCATTGCCCAGCTTGCCTGTGCGGACATCTCCATCAACATCTGGTATGGCTTTGCTGTGCCTATAATGACTGTCATATCAGACCTGATTCTCACTGGCATCTCCTACACTCGTATTCTTCATGCTATCTTTAACCTTCCATCCTTAGATACCCGCCAGAAAGCCCTCAGCACATCTGGTTCCCACATTTGTGTCATTCTTACATTCTACACACCAGCCATATTCTCCATCCTTGCCCACCGTTTTGGTCACAATATTCCTCATTCCTTCCACATACTATTTGCCAACCTCTACGTAGCTATCCCCCCTGCACTCAATCCAATCATCTATGGAGTGAAGACCAAGCAGATTTGAGACAAAATCATCCTCCTCTTTTTCTCTAAAGGGAACCAGTGACATGAAGCTGACAGCTTGGGAAAGAAATCAGGTAATTATATTGATTTTCTAGTATTTCTTATTTTTTAAAAGCTGGAATCCTTACAACTTTGACTTAAATGTATATGAAATCCTGTAAATCCACTATGTGTTATAGGAAACAGTGAGACAAAATGAATAGCTAGAGAAGCCAAATAAAAGTTGAAGAAAAATTTCATGTATAAAAGGATCAGAGGGAAATTTATATCTCATTTTCAGATAAGATTTCTTAGCTATCAGAATCACCAGAACTGTTGAAGAATGTATAGTAAGCCCATTAAAGTAGGATAGAGCTTACTTGCATTTTTGCATTTGCATTTTTACCAAGTTCCCCAGGGGACTGTGATGACCACTAAAGTTTGAGAACCACTGTCTCTTAGAAGATTTATTTTCCTGAAGGATTCTTAAAAGAAGGTAATTATTTGCTCTATCTTTACTGAATCTCATCTGGAAAGTGTCCTACAAAGGTATCCCAAATTGTGAGGATTTTACTTATGTCTTTTAACCTCTTTATAAGACTAATCTGTCTAGTTATATATGATCAACATGCTATCTTCTAAGTCTTGGAATTCTTAAATGTTCATAAACAATTTGGAAATCATATTTAAATATTCTAGTGGGTAGCCCCAGTGGAGATCCCAGCCAACAGCTAACAACAGCTAGCTATGTCAGTAAGCCATCTTGGATATTCAGTCCAATTGAGACTTCAGACATCTGTAGCAATAATATGAAAAATTGTAAAGTATACTTAATAAACATATGTGTTTGGCTAAGGAGATTTTAAAGCAAAGTACTGGAAGTACCAACACTATTTTTATGCTACATCTGGTAATGTACTTATAAAGAAATATGAAGTAATAAATTAAATTGTTTAAGGTTCAAACAACATTTAGAGTAAATACAAAGGTGACATATCTGGCTAGGTTCAAATAAAAAATTAACTCTCTCCACCCCTGGCTTCTCCAAATGACAAAAAATTCTCACAGTGAAAAATGGTCCCAGGGTGTAGTGTCATCTCCAGAAAAAGGCTGTAAGATCCTTTGCTAACAATAGAGAAATATTTAAGTTTGCATCTTATAGAGGTTTCCAATTAAAGAAGCTTCTAAGAATCTTTAGAATTTTTTTTCAGAGTACTGTAACTCTCAGACAAAATCAGAAAAGTAAAAATCTAAAAGGTATATGTGGATATGACTTTTGTCTAATAAACTCAAATTTTTATAGAGAACTCAGATTTTAAGAAAAATGTGCAGTTACAAGCACCATGAGCTTTGGTGGAAAATGACATAGTCATTGCAAAATAAAGAGAAGTCCTTAGATTTTTACCTTTATTAAGCAGGAAGCAGGCTGAGAAAGCTACTCACATGTATATACAAGTCATTTTTTACAAAAAAAAAAAAAAGAAAGAAAGATGACATAGAATATAGAATTAATTTCCCCACGGTTGTAGTCAAGCCATGGAGAATTACTCCCAGGGAGGAGGAGCAGGATTGGGTCCTTATTAGGAAAGTGGTGGTGTTTTTCTGGCTGTACTTTAGAATTAAAATAGACAAGTGGCTGTTATACGCCTTTGCCACTATTTCACATGTGAGTATCTATTGCAGTTATTCTATCTCTGTATCACAAATGTATGTTGGCTGTAAAGGAGACAGATAACTCATTTGATTTACCTCACAAATCTTCAGATTGAGAGAAGCTGCACTCATGGAGCTGTACAAAAGGAACTGAATCCAAGGGGTCTTATTCATACTTTGTCCTGATTTTCAGGCTGAGATTCTGGGCTTTGAACTAATCCCATAATGAGAATGAGACGTTGGGGTCTTCAGGAAGAGGTGAATGCATTTTGTATGTATGGGGATATGTGTATTATGGCCAGAGGACAGAATGTTGTAGGTGTTATTTTTCAAAGATGGCAAGACAACATCTTGCATCACATACACTTTTCTGCAATATTACCTCACCATTCTTCTAATAAGTAAAATCAATTTTCTTTCCCTATTTTTCTGGTCTGTCCTTAGCAATGTTTTTGAAAAATAGATGTGACATTTGGGGATATTTGAGGCAAGGATATAAGAAATCTTACAGCTTTGTCATTGGTGTCTTTGAACATGTACTTTTTGGATACTCTAGAAGACAGACATCATGCTGTGATAATCTAAAGCCATATGGAGAGGTCATGTGGTTGACAGCTTTGGCTGAGCTCCTGGTTAACAGCATCAATACTAGTCAAGCCGAGTGATGACTACACATGCATAAAATATCTGATGATAGCCACATGAGAGAGATATCCCAAGTGAGAAATGCCCAAATGATCTCAGTAAACCTATAGCATTATAAGAGATAATAATAAATTGTTTTAAAGCTATTGTTTGGGAGTGGTTTGTTATGCAACAATAGTTAACTGGAATAATTAGAGTCTTAGGTACTCTGATCTTTTTTCCAGAGATCTTGACTACCCTACTTCATCTACTTAATTCCTTGGAAATACTTTTGAATTTGTATTTAAAAAAAATATGGAAATTATTAATAATCTAAAACTCAGGCAATTTGCTCCTCACCAATCACCTGTTATTTTTCAGCTCATTTTCTCTTGAATCCTGATTCAACAATCTTTCAACTTAAGGATATTGATAACAAATTAATCTTAATATTTTTTCACATTTCATCATTTTCTTTATTTCTTAATTTCCCCCTTCCCGTTATTAATTTTATGGTCCATTCCTTTAATTACTTTTTTAATACAAATATTCTCTCTCTCTCCCTCTTTTCTCTTTCCTTTCCTCCCTAACACACACATACACTTCGTTGTGCTTGTTCAGCCACACAGTAACTCTACCTAAATGTAACTCTCCACCAATTTGTACCTGCAGCCATTGGCTCAGCAGTTTTTTTCTCTCATCTTGAATTATCAATTTTCACTCTCTTTTTTTTGCATCTCTTTTTTTTGCATCTTTCTCTATTATTACAAGCACTTGATAATATTTATCTCATCTTAAAATTGTTTCTTGACTCCAGTTCCCTTCCAGCTATTACTCCCAATTCTCTACTTTATTTTGCAGTATAACTCCTTGAAACAGTTGTCTATATTTACTGTTTCTAGTTCTTCTCTCCCATTTTCTCTTTAACTCAGTCCTACCCAAATTTCATATTAATATTGCATAATCCTCTTCTTGTTGAAATCTATCATAGCTACAATTTCTAAAAGCAGTGGTCTCAGTCCTTATTCCTTGACATATCTGCAGTATTTCATATACCTTTAAAATATTATATATATATCTCTCTCTTTAAAAAATTACTTTATTCACTAGCCTACAGTGGTTTTTCGTCTACCCTAAAAGTGCTACTTATTTGTGTCCTTAACTTGTTCTTCTTAATCATATGACCTCTAATGTCAGCGTTTAGTCCCAGTGCTCTTGTAGGCATTCATTTTCTTTTAATCTCGTTTAGATATTGTCATTATAATGATGATTAGCAAATGTGTATCTCCACTGTGTATCTTTTCTTTAATCTCCTGACTTGTATATCAACAACTGCTAATATATCATTTCCTCAGTGGATTATGGGAAAAGCACGTATCCTCACACTAAACTGTAACTAGTAGTACCTTTGATTAAGTAGCTTATCATCTGGTATAATTAGATGAAGAAAAAAAGACAACGACTTACCCTAATAAACACATAAGAATGTTAAAGTGAAATAAAGAATCAGGCTCAAGATCAACCTGGAGGAATTCAGATTAGACACAGTGGTGCTTTTTTTTGATAATAGGCAACATGTGATACTGGATTAGGCAACAACAACAACAACAACAACAACAACAAAAGCTGTGGAAATTCTAATCCAAGATATATGTCTTCCGACACTATTCTTCTTCCGTGTTTCCTTCCTTCTCCCTGAATTGCTTTCCCCAAGAATCTGGCACAATTTGGTTACAAATTTTGTCTAAAGGTTAGGCAGCTATTAATCCCTTAGTGCAAGACCATGGTGACCGCTTCTCCTGCCTTAAAAAAAGTGTAGCCTTTCAAAGAAGACCCTGACATGACTGGTGTGTCTCCCCAGAGATCTTATTTGCAAATTAACCACTGTTTTTAGCAGTTTGGACCGTCAGTGCTCTGAGCCATGCCACAGCCTCTCTTGACCAAAAAAACCTTCCCAGGGTGGGAGTAAATGCAACAAGAAGACCTCAGATTCAGGAACTATGCTCTTGTGTTCGGTCCAGTCTTCTCCATGACTGCTGACTAATGAGTCTGGGGTGAGCATTATATCGATGAGGTAGGCGCAAAATAAGGCTGAAGACTGTTCTGTGAAGCCAGGAGCAGAGGTAGGTAAAGAGAGGATTGACAATCCAGATGTTCTGATGTATTTGGCTACTCTGGAGATCATCCAGACTTTCCCCTGGCTCCATTATAGAAACTGGTTCCTTGAATTTCTCAAGTTTTTTTTTTTTTTTTTTTTTTTTTTTTTTTTTTTTTTTTTTTTTTGAGATGGAGTCTTGCTCTGTCACCCAGGCTAGAGTGCAGTGGCACGATCTTGGCTCACTGCAACCTCTACCTCCCAGGTTCGTGCGATTCTCCTGCCTCAGCCTCCTGAGTAGCTGGGAATTACAACAAGCGTGGGCCGCCACGCCTGGTTAATTTTTTTGTATTTTAGTAGAGACGGGGTTTCACCATGTTGGCCAGGCTGGTCTCAAACTCCTGACCTGAGGTGATCCGCCTGCCTCAGCCTCCCAAAGTGGTGGAATTACAGGCATGAGCCACCATTCCTGGCCACTCAGGTGTTTGAGTAGACTTAATGTGTACCAAATTATCATTAATAAATCCTTTGCTTTGCGCTTGAATCCCTCTTCTTGGAGTTAGAGATTTTAGTCTCTTGCTGTTTCATTATAGGCTCAAGGCAAGCCAGTCAGATCTCTGGAGCAGACTTTCTTAAAACAATGATGGAGTCTGAATTTTTTTTTTTTTTTTTAATAATTTTTATGCCTATGTTTAAGGTATAAAACATGATGTTATAAGATACATATAAATAATAAAATGGTTACTGTAGTGAAGCACAATAGTTGCATCTTAATCTCACTTGTATCTGTCAGGCTAGCCAGGCAGAAGTGAAGTTATATGTATTTGTTAGTAACTTTATACCTGAACAGATAGGACCCTAGTGGTGTTTTCCGAAAATGTATCTGTCTGATTTCTTGTCTTCTCAGTTTCTGAGCATACCTGGTATCCCCCAAATCTCATTTCCTCCACGTAAGTAATCCTGGAATTTTGTGTGCAGAAACTTTTGATGACTGCTAAGCTAGAAATCCTTGCTGCAGCATTCCTAGGTTTGTTTCTATCCAGGGCAAAGTCAGGTGACTGCCTCATTAAACACACTAACAGAACTTCTTCCTTTAATTAGATAAGCATTCCTTCTTCCTTACTCTGCTCTTAATGGCAGCATAGAACACACTGGCTCCTTTTGTGTTGAAGAACCTCACAATGTCACAATAGTTCCTTGACCTCACAGGAAATTAATGAGTGGACATCTATGTAGTACTATATTGGTGTGATTGGGATTACTGGGGAGCCATCTCATTTCATATGCTGCGAGAATGCACCTCATTCAGCTGAGGACCAGTCTCGGATCTTTGAAGAGAGTATTTGACTTAGAAGAGACTGAAACCACACTGTCTTCACCCTTGTGTTATGGAGTCAAGCCTATGTATTTTTCAACTTGAGGAACTAAATGCAGTTTCCTCTTTTGAGAGGTGAGTACATAGTTAGAGAAAGGGACTCAGAGATTTCAAAATCATGAGAAATAAAAGCGAATATTTTAGTTAGTGCTTATGAAGTTACAGAGACTGTATTATACACTTCACATGCTTTTTCTCAATTAAATCTCCATTAGACTCTATCAAGTATTGTCTGAATTTTATAATAGGAAATTGAGGACTATGGGGAATAAGGAAATTGCTCAAAGTAATACAGTTAGCAAGTTAATGTAATAGAGCAATATTTTGAACCTAGGAGGTCTGAACATAGGCCCTGATCTCGTATTTTTCAGACTAGACTACAGAAGGAGAGCTTCAGGAGTCAAGTCACACAAGAGTTGTTTGAAGCATCTGGGGAAGACTCAGATTTAGAGATGAATTTCATTTTCTCAGGGAAGCCTGCCCTAAGTAGAAACTGTCTCATGCAACTCTTCATCATAGCATATATCAATTTGGCATTTTATGCATGTATTGGGAATTATTTGATTAATTTTGTCTTATTAGACTATAAACTTAATAGATCATTGAATATGTATGTTCTTACTCTTCAATGTGTATTTCAAACATCTAGAAGAATAACTGGTACATAATAATATTTCTTTGTCAAAAATATTTTGACAAGTAAATGAAAGGAAAAAGCAGCCTTCGAAAGAACATAAAATTGGAAGCTTAAGACAATGAAGAGAAATCATAGTGTTTAATGTGGGTTGTGGTTATAGACATTGACTCAATAAAAAGAAAAGCATTCTTAAGCTCAGAAAGTCTAAAGTTGAGAATGGCTGCCTCAAAAAAGGCAGACTTATACATCACTAAATGATTCCCTGTCATTAGAGATGTATAAGCAACTTCCATGTAATCACTTTTCACAAGATACTACATTTGGGAGTCAACACCATATAATTAGTGAACTACATATGCTTTGTAATTTACTGCCCAACTAGGTGACAATATTATGTTCCATTGGTTTATCAATAAAGTAAAATAAATAAAAAACAAATAAATAAAAAGAAAATATAAAAAACTTAGATATTGCCAGAAACCAAAAGCATTCATATTTTTAAAAATTTTTGAGGATGTATCAAGTTAAAGTAAACAAAATAACTTTATAAGTAATTAAAACTTGTAATAATGTTATTACGTGTACAATTTACAGTGACTATTAATATAAAGTTAGTATAAACTTGCAGTAGTATACGAGAAATGCTTACTACAGTTACTAAAACAAAATTTATAATGCTGTATGAATTTATTCATATGAATAAATACTATATGAGCTCAAATGCTATATGAATTTATTTTCACTACATTCAATTGAGCAGGAGATTAAAAGAAAAATATTTTTTTCTTAAAATTTTTTAATTTTAGCTTCAGGGGTACATGCACAGTTTTGTTATATGGGTAAGCTTGTGTCTCAGGGGTTTGCTGTACAGATTATTTCCTTACTCAGGTACTAAGCCTGGTGCCCAAAACTTATTTTTTCTACTTCTCTCCCTCCTCCCACTCTTCACCCTCAAGCAAGTCCCAGTGTCTGTTGTTCCCTAAAACAAGGATATTCTTTATAATTATTATAGAACTCTTTAATCCTATCTTAGGTTCTTCCACATTCTAAAATTCTTTTTAGGTGAGAATGACTGGATGAAGTTAACATTAATATCCCTTCTAGAAACAAGAATCTTTGAACCCCTAAGACTGGCCTTCAACAAGGTAAGAATGATGGTTCTGACTTCACCTATAGGAGTCCAGATTTTTTTTCTTATTTTTCTTTCCTATTTTCTTATTTTTCTTTCTATTGGCATAACCTCAAACCACAGAGCAGGCACTCTGAGAAACTCCCTGATTTAAGTCACCTGTAAATCCCCAGTCTCTCCTTTTCTTCTTTCCTTCCCATGGCATGCTTTATATTCTTAAGTATTTCCTGCAGCACACACTGTGTGGCTATTGGACTTACTGGTCCCAAAGTATCATTACCCTAAAGTATTATATTCTAAAGCTGGGAAAACAGACTAAGACAGGTATGTTTTATAATCAGATTAATTCATTGGATTAATTAAAAAACAGATAGAAATGTATCATACAGATTAGGTTATAAATCTGTATAAATGTATTATACAGATTAGGTTAAGTACTGAATCAGAGGTGATAAGGAGCACCTATTAGAATATACAGGATGAACAGAACATGGGAGGAATCACAGATCCAGCAAGGGAAGATCTTGTCTGATTCATAAGGAAGGCCCCCAAGAGGGAACACTATTTTGCAAACATGGTCACTTACCCAAGTCTGTTAAGAAATTCAATTATTACCAGCCTGGCCAATATGGTGAAACCCCTTCTCTACTAAAAATATAAAAATTAGCGGAGCATGGTGGTGCATGCTTGTAGTTCCAGCTATTCCAGAGACTGAGGCACGAGACTTGCTTCAACCCGGGAGGCAGAGGTTGCAGTAAGCCAAGATCACACCACTGAACTCTAGACGACAGAGCAAGACTCAGTCTCCAGAAAAAAAAGAAAAGAAATTTAATTACTGCATTTAATCTTTTATTAATTATTTATTAAATATTATTTGTTGGCCTAATGTATATAAGGCATAGATGTTGAATACAGAGAACAAAAAACGAGACTCAGAAATTTCACAGTGTAATGGGAAGAGAGATATATACATACTTATTAAACAATTTTATATTTCCAAAGGGAGACACTCTGAAGATGCACAGTTCACTCTTCATAGGAGAAGGGATTATAGAAGGACTTCATAGAGAAAAATGTATTCAGCTGGTTTTTGAAAGACTGTTAGGAACTATCCAGGTGACCAAATGAAAACAGCCCTTCTATGCAGAAAAAACACCAAGTAAAAATGAATACTGGTGTAAGAAAGCATGTTTTTATACACTTTATGATGCATATATAATTGGAACATGAAATATATGGTGAAATGTGGTGCTAAAAGATGCTAGTTAGCAAGAGCAATTGTATCAGACCCCCAGCCAGAGACAGATTACACACTGAAATAATTTGAGGCAAATGTAATACAGAAACCATTTACAAAGGTGTGGTTATGTGTAAGAAAATCACAAGTGCTTGTGATATTCCCTAGTTAAGTAGCAGTAGGCACTATTACAACCATTGGATTAAAGACACAAGAGGAAGATATGATTGCCAGAGGGAACCAGAGCCAGAGAAGACTTAGATAGGGATGACATAAGCTTGCAACAGCTTTCTTGGGAGAATACTGAAGGAATAAACATCTGACTCTTTTCTTCCTCCCTCCTATCTCTTGTTGGTGGTTTCTATTGCCAAATTCAGCCAGAAGTGAGAAGGCAAGGGAACTTGTTCATGTAGTCCATAGAGGTCAATGTTTCAGAGCTCAGAACATGATAGAAAGTGGTGGAGGGTAGAACAGAGGAGGTTAATGTAAGGTAGTCTGCACAACATACATGTAGAGAGATCATATTTATGTAGAGAGATCATATTTATATTACAGTTGGTTATATTCACATGATAGAATATTTAGGCAACAATGCAGAGGCTTCACTCGAAGGTGGAAATCCTGGAAGTGAACATATTAGTGACAAAGCTATTTTAATAACAGAGACAAGAAATGAGGAGGGCATGAATTTGAGTAAAATTGGTGGGAATGAAGAAAGGCAAGAAATTGAATGAATAATTAAGAGGAAGAAATGGCTTCTAGGATGACGTTATTTTATTTTTAACCACTTTTAGGAAGATAAGGCCTCTGTTCTCTGCATTATTATGTTCTCTGCATCTATCCCCAATGACACTGCCCTCAACCCTTCAACATTTATTCTGTTTGAAATCCCAGGGATGCAAGGCCAACATGTTTGGATTGTCATCCCCTTCTGCTCCATGTATGTCCTTGCTCTGATGGGAAATGGTACCATCCTGTACATCATTATGACAGACAGAACTTTGCACGAGCCAGTGTACCTTTTCCCGTGCCTGCTTTCCATCACTGACCTGGTACTTTGTTCGTCTACATTGCCCAAAATGCTAACAATCTTCTGACTTTGGTCTCACATGATTTCCTACTATGGCTGCCTCACCCAGATGTTTTTTGTTCATGGAGTCTTTGCCACAGAGTCAGCTGTTCTGTTGGCCATGGCTTTTGATTACTATGTGGCCATCTGCTGTCCACTTCATTATGCATCCATCCTCAATGCCACCATGATTGGGAAGGTTGGTGTAGCATGTGTGATTCATGGTCTTCTCTTTGTTTTCCCCTTTGTCATCTTCATTGAACGCTTACCCTTCTGTGGACGTCACATCATTCCTCACACCTACTGTGAGCACACGGGCATAACCAAGCTTGCCTGTGCCAGCATCAAGCCCAACACCATTTATGGTCTCACTGTGGCACTTTCAATCACTGGCAGGGATGTGGTCCTCATTGCCTCCTCTTGCCTCCTGATCCTGCTGACTGTGCTGCGCTTGCACTCTAAGGATGCTCAGCTCTGAGCATTTAGTACTTGCAGAGCCCACATTTGTGTGATTCTTATTTTCTATATTCCTGCCTTTTTTTTTTCCTTTTTCACTCACCGTTTTGGCCACCAAGTACCCCCTCACGTCCACATTGTACTTGCAAATCTCTCTCCTTGTGCCTCCTGTTCTCAACCCCCTGGTCTAAGGCATCAACACCAGACAGATTCGCCTGAGACTATTTGGCTTTTTTTATGAGGAGGAGGTAACTATACTCTCTACATGCACAGAGAATTAATGGAAAAAGTTATAATTAATCTTTTACTTTCTTTAGCACCTCTTATCCCTGGACTAGAGGTTTCTACTTCTGCTAATTCTAGCACACCAGTATCATGTATTATTGGAGAGTTTTTGAAGTATTTGTGAGAACCCATCTATACCTGCTAAATATGAAGAATATCATTTTTCTATAAAATTATCCTGTGACCTGTTAATGGGCCTATAGGTCTTGAATATTTCCAGGGAAAGGCAATGTAGTTCACTTGAAAGTAAAAGACAAGGAGAGTTATTCTCTCCATGTACTGAAATCTCGTATGCTAGAGTTGAGGAATTGAGAACACACACACACACAGACACACACACACACGCACACACACAAAATTAATTAATTATTGCCAGCATTTTCTTAGACCAGGAGAGTCTTCAGTGAGAGTTTCAGCCTAGACCAGAGATTGCTGTGAGAACTCAACACCCAGGATTAGGTTGACAATACATGAGGAGGACTACAGGGGGAGAAGTCTGAAAGCACATAATTCCATGGGAACCCCATCATATTAGTTTCTCAAGGAAGTAGTCCAAAATATGTCACTTTTGGTCAGATGTGGTGGCTTCTATCTGTAATCCTAGCATTTTGAGAGGCCAAGGTGGGAGGATTGCTTGAGCTTAGGAATTCAAGACTAGCCTGGGCATCATGGCTAGACCTTGTCTCTGCAAAAAATTAAAAATGTAGCCAGGCGTGGTATCATGTGTCTGTAGTCCTAGCTACTTGGGAGGCTGAGGCGGGGGATCACTTGAGCCTAGGAGGTTGAGGCTGCAGTGAGCCATGTTTGTGCTACTACATTCCAGCACAGGGAACAGAGTGAGACCCTATCTTAAAATAAAATAATAATAAAAATGTCACTTTGTAGCTAATATAGTCACCTCCTGACTGATGACCTTTGCATTTTTCCTGGCATTTTAAGTGTGATGGACTTATCATGTGAATTATTCTGAGAGGCACTGTGAACTTGATCTAACCTTTTGTTTCCTCCATTAGTCTATAGCACTTTGGGTATACAAGGGTGCCTAGGACATTGAGTTTCCTGTTAATGCTATCCAGACTGATTGGATGACAGTAAACCTTCCCCAAACAGCTGGCTGGCATGTTTTTAGCACAGGCTTAACTTCCACAAGAATTGATGTTCCCCCACTTGGAAAAAATAAATGCGAGTAACCAGTCTATTCTCCTATATAACGCAATCATATTCTCCAGCATCAATTTTTCATCATATATTGCTTATTACCAGAAACTCTTGATCTTTTAAGGCATTCATTCTACTTTTCAACTTCAGTATCTAAGTTTCTTTTTTTTTTTAAGAGTCTGAGATTGATCCCACCCACAGTTAACTTAGTTTGTAATGTGGTGTTTGATAAATAGGATCCTATAAACAGAGACCACAGTTTCTTTTATTATGTTATAGTAAAATATATATAACATAAACTTTGTTATTTTAACCATTTTTAAGTGTATGGTTTGTGACATTAATTACATTTACAATATTGTGTGACTATTACCATTATGTCCAAGACTTTTTATTACCTCAAACAGAAACTCTGTAACCACTAAGCAATAACTCCCCATTCCTCCTTCTACTCATGCCTGGAAATTTCTAATCTTCTTCTTGAAGAGAAAAACCTTATGCAGAAACTTTAGAAATACTCTTCATTTATTTTTTCTTATAGTTGAACATCTGTTCAGAAATATTTCTTGAGGATCAACTATATTCTAGACAATAATATAATTTCACAGGTGACTAAGGTCCAGTGTCAGACTTTAGGAAACCCACAATCTAGAAAGAGAGGAAATCATGTAATAACAACAAAATATAGCATTTTCAGTGATATAGTATAAAAGATACTATGGGAGTGAAGAGGAAAGTATGCATATGTTAAATAATGATATTTTGGACACTGAAGTAATTATCATTTTATGGATTCATCTTAATTCTAGACCCTTTTTTCCACTGGGCTGAAGCAAAAAGGTGCCAATTGTCCATAACATGAGATAATTTTTTTTTTTGGAGACTGAGTCTCCCTCTATTGCCCAGGAGTGCCCTCTATTGTTGGAGTGCAGTGGCGCTATTTCTGCTCACTGCAAACTCCACCTCCCGGGTTCAAGCCATCCTCGTGCCTCAGCCTCCTGCGTAGCTGGGATTACAGGTGCCCGCCACCACGCCTAGCTAATTTTTGTATTTTTAGTAGAGACAGGTTTCACCATGTTGGCCAGGCTGGTCTTGAACTCCTGACCTCAAGTGGTCCACCTGCCTCGGCCTCCCAAAGTGCTGGGATTGTAGATGTGAGCCACCGCTCCCAGTGAGAGAATATTTTTTAATCTTCCCATGGTTCTCATGTTGACTAAGTAAGCCATTTCTATGGAAAATTTTGTATCAAAAATTAATTATAAAAAGCTCTTGCTTACATATTAAGGAAAGAAAAATTAAACAACTATGAAGACTATCTCCTCTGTTAGAAGTTATTAAAACTCACTTACTTAAGACAACAGGAAATATATCTATACTCAAAACTTAGGTTTATTAATCCTGCTACAGCAAGCAAGAAAGCATTCCAAAAGAGCCCCTGGGTAACTCAAAAGAGTTGGGAGGGGATTCTTATATGATGTGAGCTTGTTGTGCTTGATAACTTTAAGGAGAAATCTTGGAAGTTTGGGAGGATTCCAGTTTGGATGTGGTCAAGCAATATGGGTAATTTGGAATTGTATATCAATATTTTCTAAATCTAGGAAATGTGAGAACAAAAGTGGGCTAGAATGAACATTGGTAAAGCAAAAGCAGTTACCCATGTTAGCAAGAAGAGTAATTCTGATTGACTTTCTCTCAGTCTTCTTCCAGACTTTGTCACAGAATGGCCTGTCTATATTGTTCACATTCTTCAGGCATTGTCCCCTTTTGGCCAAAACCAGATGATAACAGCCTTCAACACATTCATTTGTGCATTCCAGTTAACCATTGTCAGAATTGTACTGATAGAAGGTTGCTCAGAAAACAGCCTGGAGTCCTGCATGTTTCTTTTGTTAAACGATAATCGTTGAATAACGTAATATGACAATGACTATGCAGCAGTATTTAAGACTTCAGACTGCTCTTGTATTGTACTGAACAAATGCCATACAGACTATGACCAGCAAGTCAGTGATTCGTAGTTTATGTAGTAGGCTATGGAATCAGAGACCTAGATCACCAAACTCAGGCCACATAAAAACATAATCAAATTCCGTTTCAGTTTATTTTTGAGATCCGGGAGACTTCCCTTTAGCTTAACCACACGGTTTCACCTAAAAGGTGGTATTCGCATGGGTACTAGAGAAGGTCTTAAATGTGCCAAATGTCTCCTTGGCTAGCTAAGAAGAAAATGGTTAGTGTTTTTCTGACTATGGGAGGAGCAGTCTGAGACAGTGGACAGGAAGAGGGAGTTAGCTCCCTTTCCAGGAACTTCCTGACTAACCCATACCTACTCATTTTGGAAGTCCATCTAGATGTTCTTCTCGGGAAAATACAGTTCACTAGAAGGTTATAGGTTTTAAATATTTGAAAATCTGTAGGCATTACTCCTTTGTTACAAGAGAGATTTATGTGTGTCAGGTACGCAGAAGTCCGCCTTTAGAACACAAACATCATTGTCATTGTATCATTTATTACCACAAGATTGGAACAATTTTTTATTTTTTTCAAAAAGAGGAAATTATCTTTGGAATGACATTGAACCTATAAAACAGACTAGAGAGTACATGAAAATACTCACTACTGTAATAAAAATTGTTCCAATATTTGTCACTACCCCTACTGACTTTGAATATACTGCAAATGATGAAATAAATTTAGCTTATGTATTGTGTTGACTCTAGGTCCGGTCTAATATTTAAAATATTAACGATTGAGGTCAGTGACATGAGGAAAGTATGATACCAAGAGGAACTTGAAGAAAAAAAGTTGTCTTCTTGAATATTTGAAGGAAGAGTTAATAATTGTTTGGGGGATGACAAATCCAGCATTCAGAGGAGTAGCTGTGGTCACACAGCTGTGGTCACACATGCCCCCCAACCCCAGCCCTATCCAGGTATTATTTTGCTTTAAATAGCAGAGAAACACATTATGAGATCAGGCTGTGATTACAGTAAAAACATGTTTAAATGCATTTAGAAACCCTTAGGCAACCACTAAGATATATCAAATTAAGATGATAAAAAATTTTAACAATAAGACAAAAAAAAAAAAAGAACAGAGATACAAAAAGTTAATCTTGTTCTGTTGTCTTGGCATGAGAAAGTACACTTCACACCATCATCTGCTAATTAGAAAATTTCGGGTTAACCTTTGCCATGTAAGGGTCATCTGCTTCTGGAAGATCCTGAAAAATCTTCAGTTTAAGGTTCCAATAAGTATGTACTTACTAACAGTTTTCATTGAAAAGGGCCAATAACATTGTGAGCTGGAAACATGTATGTAATAATCAATCCTTTGAGGCTTTACTGCTTTGCTGGTTGTTAACAGTACTTGAGAAATTTCCTCCAGTGTGAATCAATGTTAATATTTTTCTGGTGTTTCTAAAATATCTAGTTTCCTCTTTTACCATTATTTGTAGAAAATAAATAAGTGGCAGGTGAGGAAAAGTGGTTCTTATATGTCAATGATAAGCTTAAACAACTCCAGTCAGTGTATCATGTTAACCCGCATTATCAAAATCAAGAAGTAAATTCCCAATTGATACAAAACACGTAATTAACTTTTAAGAATTTTTAATCTGTAATCATTCTGGCAATAAGAATATATTATTGAAAATGAAGCCACTAATATTTAGGCCTCTTATTTATTCCATGATGTATATCATAAATACAGTTTCTGTGTCTATATTTGAACATAAACATAAATATGTTTTATTTAATGTGAAAAGTAAACCGTCATCAAAATATGTAAATCCTAATTTGGAAAGAGAAAAACACTTTCACAATAGAATTAATTGAAATTTTGGAAAGTCTTCAGGATTTTCTAGGTATAGAATCACATTGTCAACAAAGAGAGAATTTGACTTCTTCTTT